ATGGTTAACCCAACATTCGACCCAATGTTAGGCTTAGGCTTCTCTCGAAGTTTCTCAGCTTTGTAGCTCTTCATGATTTCTGACTCCTCGAAAGCCTTAGCAGCAGCTCTGTCGAATACAGCACTGCATCGAGGACACAACATAACCTCCCTATCAGCCTCCTTTTTCTTTGACAGAAACTCAACCAAATTATCTCCCTCTTTTGGATAGATAGGTTCTTCTTCCTTAGCAAAGTCATCCATCAACTCTTCGAGTTTTTCGTCAGAAATAGGCTCAATGTTTTCATCATCCTCAATATTAACTTCAACCATATTGATTCCTATCGAGACTGGTTCCACATATCCAGTGTGAGCGGCAAATGGATCAGTGTCCACTTTCATGTCCTTTTCCTCGAAAGCTAGGCGACCATCAATGATCGCTTTCTCGATCATATCCCTGAAACGCACACAGTTATTAGTCCAATGACCATACATGTTATGGTATTTACAAAATTTCTTCCCTTTTCTTTGCTCGAATGGCAAAATTTTATGATTTTCTGGGAGTGCAATTTGCTTATCTTTTAATAAAATATCGAATATCTTATCTGCCTTAGTCATGTCAAAACTATATCTCTTAGTCGAACTTCCTTCCATATTATCTCCTGGTTTTAACATTTGACATTGATAAGTAGGACCAGGACGTAACTCTGCTATGTTAACCTCAAAGTCCTCACTCGAGATCTCACAATTAGCATCCTCACCTATCTCTGCGTTTTCTAAATAGGCTACCTTTTCTTTTCGAACAAACCTATCAAACTTTCTTAATCTTTCCTTTTCTAACTTAATCTGTTCGATCCTTCTTACCTTTTCTGCCAACTGAGCCATATCCCTTAACTATTCATTCACTAATTTCTTACGAATCGAGAAATCTAACCCTATTGCAGCAATTTTAACTAATTCATGTTCAGGTACATTAGTATAACATCGAGATTTTAGCTGTCTGAACCTATTCAAATAGTCGTCTAATGTTTCATGGCTTTGTCTTTTAACATTCATTAGATCAACTATACTAACTTTTGTTTCTCCTCGAAAAAAGTGTTCATGGAAATTACCTTCTAACTGAGCCCAAGTAGTTATCGAATTAGGAGACAATGTCGTAAACCATGTAAAGGCATGTTTAGTTAACGAACACGAAAAATATTTCATTTTTAAATATTCGTTGTTTGCTAAATCCCCACATTCGACCAGATATCTAGCTATATGTTCGACTGTAGACTCATTTAATTCTCCCGCAAATTTCAAAAATTTCGGGACTTTTGTCCCCCTAGGTAATTCTACCTGAGTGATATAATCCGGAAAAGCAGACATAAAATAAGGACGTTCATTTCGACCTACCTCGAAACCATGCCTGTTCAGTATCCTTTCTACCATTTGATCTAAATTATCATTGGGATTCCTATTAGGTTGACCTACGTTTTGAGGAAAAACTCCATTCCCACCTAGATTTTCCATCTCATTCAGATTCCCACTCATGGCTCTCGAAGGTGGACCATCACCCAATTTATCTCCTATTTTGTTTATTAATTCATACAAAGGAGTCATTATATTGTGCATTTGAGTTGACAACAGATTTATCATGTCATGATTACTATGGTCTATCTGTTGTCGAAGAGCCATCATAGCTTGATTGCTAATTCCTGTGGGGATATAATTACTCTGTCGAACTAGAGACCCTTCGTGACTAGTGCCTACGTGTGGGTACGAGTCTTTCGTGACGAAACCCAAACCATTTGGACCATGATTATAACCCTGTGGGGATACATGCATTTGTGAATTTGGTCTTAAATAGGGTATTGACATTTCGACGTGTACAGGCTGAGTATTTCGCCAATTCTGTGGCATACCCCAAGGATATTCTCTAGTGGCATTTACGAGTTCTTGAGATACATTGGTTTGCCTAGCCACATTTTCGAGTATTACAGGGGGTGATGTTGCCCCCCTTGTTACAGCAACTACATTATCTGAGTTAGGATTTTCGTGTTCTGCATCTACCTGATTATCATTATTCCTGTTATTAGAATTATTAGACGTAGACATGGTTCTTCCACTCCTAAGTCTCATGCAACATGCATACCTAAAACTAGTTCAACTATGTTTGTAATTAAACGGGTCCTACCGGGCGTGCCAATTTGTTTACGGTGGAATTCGTTTAGGGATTCTTTATATTCGAACTAGCACGAAATGGTTTCAATTTAGGTATTCTTACAATATTCATGTTATTAAGAATGGAAGTAGACGAGACGAATCAACAGAAGTTGGTTTCCAAATCTTCGTTAATTATAATTAAACAATAATTTGCATGCATGTAAATACTTAAGCGCACAGTGTAACTAAAACATACATTGGCAATACACATCATCGTTCAATTTGCATAATGATCACGTTTACAATTAAAATGTTGAAGCATAGTAATCAAAGTACAATTACACAATTACACTACGTGATTAAGAAGAAAACTACACTAATCCTACTCCTAAAAGAAGCAAAGAAACGTGGCCAAGAAATGGTCATACCCAGAAGTAGTTCCGTGCACGAAAGCCATATGCGCAGGCAGTGAGTGCTTGAGAGAGAGTTTCAAGTATGATATTTCCGACCCCTGTGAAGGTGTATGCTTCTCATATTTATAGAGTTCGATGAAGAGCAGTTAATTTCGCGAGAATCCATCGTGGGTGTCTATAATCGTTGCCCACTACATTACTTACGTGGGTTTAAAATGTAACTTCCTTTAACCGTTCTCCCCACGTGTTTTATTTCCTCGATCCGCACTTTAATAACTACCTTGGTGCAACCATAAGAACCTCCGATAACTTCTCTATTTCTTCAAGCATATCATTGTTCTACTCGAAACAATTCCTTTTTGATCTCGAACATCTGTTACTGGTAGGTGTCTTGACTTTATATTGTTTTCGAGGAATCTCATGCAATATTTCGACTCATGTAGTTTTCGAGTAGGCCTAACAATAGTAGACTTATTTTTTCTAATGTAACTATTGACACTTCAAGTCAAGACCAAGTACAATAATAATTGTCATGAGATATGACAGTTAGAAAGATTAAACTTACAATCGTAAGTTAGATAATTAATAATCAATTTGAGTTTAAGTCTTCTTGATTTCTTAAAAAGAAAGAGAAACACACCCTTAAATATATTCTGACATAAGAGATCTTAAACTGTCATATAGAAGTTTTGTAATAAGAAAAATTCTTATAACTTCAACAATTTGTATTTTGAAATTACGACTTTAGAAACGAATTGATCAAATTCTCACTAAAAGTAATTATGAATGGTCTTGTTTTATTACCTTTCAAGGACTTGAGACAATAAAGTCGTTGACTCGATATATTTTGAGGATTGATTCTTTGTTATACTTGAATCATCTTATCTTACTTCGATGTCTTATATTTTTCTAAAATGTATAATTTCATGTGATACTTTAAGCGTCTTAACTTGATGTGGCATTTTATGTCTAATATTTCTTCAGGTTGTCCTCATTGTTTAGAAAGTGTTCCCCTACCCGCCTAACAGAATAGAGAATACCACCTCATCTAACTAGCTAGCTTTAGATTGTTGGCTCAGGAACTGTAACACAACAATAACTTTTACTCTCTCCTACTTCATCAATTTGCCCACTGACCCTATCAAATTGCTTGACTAATTTTAGCTGTATTATAATCACTAGCTAGCAAATTTTAACGGAATCTTAATTTTAGCATTGGTGGCATACAAAAGATAAATTAATGAATTTATCAACAATTATCTGTGCAGGAAATAAATCAGCAAAATCATAGATTACAAAAAAACACTAAAAAAGCCTGTTTTTTTTTTTTTTTTTATTACATAAGAGTCAAAGCAGAAAGAAACAAAAGCCAGAAAAAATAGAAAGCAAAAACATACTTCTCCTGGCTAGTTATGTCTAGCCAAACTATCTACGAAGCACACATGTTCCTATAGTATCCTTTCTGAGAAGCTCTTCCATCTCCACAGGGGCTTCTTCCAAGATCACCAAACCTTCAGATGACACCCCTCCTTTTCTAGCCAAAAAAGCTGCACAGAAATTTCCCTCTCGTAGGATATGTATCACTTGACAGGTCCAATGTCTTGATATTAGCTCTTTAATCTTGTCCATACAAACTATAAGTGTTTTTGAAAGTTTTTTTATTAAAAATAAAAATTATTTTTCAGCAAAAAAAAGTTCTCAAAAGCACTTCTAAACCTATATTTAAATAAGTTCAAAATGTAGTGATCTAATTTTGTTGGTAATGGTAGTCCCTGCATATCAATTTTTGTTATGACTTCTTCCTGTCACATAAATACGAATATTTTATGCTTCTGATCCAATGTCACATTGTTCAAATGTACCAGTTTCTTCACAGTAGCATTTTAACGATGTTGTTCCCAGGGAGACATTATACCATGTTAAGCCAAATTTCAGTGGACAAACAAAGAAGCTGTTATTACTTCTTGAAAGTATTGAGTATTGACCTGACTCAAATTTCAGTGGACAAACAAAGAAGCTGTTATTACTTCTTGATAGTATTAAGTATTGACCTGACAGTCTAAGTTACCATAAAACTTCTCCACAGCTCCTTTTTCTATCTATTTAATATTTATTTTTCCCTTTTCACTTCCACAGTTTAAAACTTGGTGTGAAAACCGAGAAACACTGAACAAAATGAATAGGCTAATCGATGTAGACAAATCTTTCCCGCCCAGAGGCAATAGGCTTCATGGATCCAAGAATGCAATTTTCCTGTTGGTTTGGTTTCTTTTCTCTACATTCCCATTTTTGTCTTTTGTATTTTTCTTAGCTGTTTTATTTTCTCGATCTTAAAATTTTGAATCAGAATAAAATGACTCATCCCCGATCTTGCTTTATTCCCACTAGACTTGCTTTAGCTTCCTCATTTGTAATATGAAAATATGATAGCATTGTGGGTGCTACAGAAAACAAAAGGAAGAAGTCATCTTCTCTTAACATTTTGCAGAAACTCTAATATGATAATATGATAGCATCTGTTTGCTTGATACATCTAAAAGTACGAAATATAGGACAGCAAATATTTGGGATGTAACCTACTTAACACTTTATCGAGTAATAGACCGCTAGAAACAATGATTTCTATGATTAGATTCCCGCGGGACTGACTAAAACAAAACCAAGCAAAACTCATTCCCAGGTAAAAAAACCCTTTCGTAAACAATGTTTTTGGACAGAATGCTTCAACTCAGCAACTTCACAAGTTACATCCAGGAATGTAGATGTCCTGTACTAACAGCATACCCAATAATGTCATTACAGAAACAAATCCATGTCAAGTCATCAAAGAGCATTTATCATTATCTTCATCTCAGCAGACCTCCTGGGGTCTGGTTCTTCAATTGCTCTCTCAGTAAGTACATGCTTGATGCGACACATTGACTTCCTAACCTGATTTCATGTAACAAAAAATTGATAAAAGTATGTTGAGGAACAGAAGATAAAAGCAATACCACTGTAATTGCTGTATGCCAAACATCCACGTAACTACGGTTAACAAGAGCAACACGTGTAAAGCAGAACAAGTGCAAAAAAGTGAGGTAATACCTTAGGGATGCGCTCTGGGTTAGGAAAACGCAGGTTCTGTGCATTAAGCATTTGACGCTGGGTCATCAGCATGTTCTTCTCCTTTAACAACACATACCACAACTTATGAAGGTCATCCCAAGATTTCAGACGCAGTTCAGATGCCTTCCAACTCCGACCTAACAACAACATTAGGAATAAAATAAATAAATAAAAAAAGACAAAGCCATTGCCAGAACAATGGTGGGACAACATTCAAAGCAAAACGGAGAAAATCACAACTTTTGGTTGCACTGAACAAGTCTTTGCTATCACAAAAACCAGTGAAAATTTTCATTCCAAATCCAAATGAAAACAAGAGGTGCATAGTGCATACCATAAACAACAGGTTTGTCATTTTCAGCGCTCCTGTCTGCCTCAAAGAACTCCTTAAGGGGATTGTGTCCTTTCCTGTTAGCAGCAGCAGCAGTAGTGGCATAATGTTTTGATCTAGCAGCAGCAGCAAAGAGTGTCCGTCCAAGTGTTCTTGACAAAAACATGGCTGCAATGCCGATCACATTGATTATACAATGTTAGAAACTTAGACACCAGTGGACAAGCCGATGCCCATGCCACCAATGTTGTCAAAATCAAATCAAATATCTTGATAAATCACATTTTGTGGGCAAAATATTATTCCTTGATTCAGACCAAACATCAAACGGTTCGTGGACAAAATCCAATATATTACAAAGACAAAATGTTAACATAATGTGAAGCATCATGAGCAGATAAAAAAGCGCGTAATTCATTTCACACAACGGGAAATTTGCAACTAGAGATACAGAGAAAACCTCATATAAAGGGGGAATTAATAAATAATACCTAGGTCCACAAACATCACAGCATCAGGTCCTGGAAATCAGATTCACATATGAAAAATAGAAAAACAAACAAAAAATAAAGAGCAAAACATACCTAAAAAAAATCTACAAGCACAGCAAAAACGATGCCTCAGGTACTGTGAAGATGAAGCTATAAAGATGAATTATTGATATAAGGGTTTGACGGGGTTGGGGAAGAGAAAGAAAAGCAAGGTTTATTTTAGCTGTGTAATTTTAAATATTTCCATCTCAATTATAAATAAAAAAACAAGGGCAAAAGAAGCACTTAGTGTCTCTTAATTTTTTAAATTAAAAATAAAATAAAAAATAATTAGATGAGTAGATTGTTGTGAGTAGTTATTTAGAAAATTTCAGAGCTTGTTTATGATAATGTGTAAAGGAGTATGGTAATTGTTAAAAAAAGTCTTAATTTTCTGATTCTTTTTCTTGGTAATTAAGGAGTGTAATGGTCTAACAAAATGTAGAGAGAAAAATCAGTTATTAAGAAAAATATCTCTTTTTATAATGCTATAGATATCCAATTAAATTGCCTGTAACTTTCCAAATTTTATATAATGTGTTTGAAACATATGTATGATATATATACGTTACATTTTTAAGTATTTAACCAAGTCCAATGGTGTCGTATGATTCATATAGCCAACCTCACACAGTGGGACAAGACTTTTGTTGTTGTAACTTGTATATGTCGCCCTTTTAGTGGTTTTGATAATTTTATCACCCAAAAGTGTAGATTAGTTGCTTCTCAAAGTATATGAAGTTATCTTTAACTGGATAACATAATTTTGGTTTTTTTTTCTTTTCTAATTTAGAATGTATATCTACTCATTTTTGTGGAATTGACTAGTTTTTAGCTGCTGTTAAAACACTTTAGATCTCTTTCTTTGATTTCTAGAACAAAACTGTATGTAATTATATGCTCCCAAAATGCTAACAATAGCCATTCAATGTCTTTCTCTCCATCTAAACCGTGCAAGGTTTCTCTCTTCTCCTAGCTCTACCTAGGATGTGTCATTAGAGAATTCAATTCAATAGAATATGCATCTATTAAGACGTTGGAGGAGTTATCTAAGTTGCTTGAAGAAACTATGACCAGAAACCAGACTAAGAAAAAAAAGGAATTTAAATGACACTGAGAGGGACAATGATTTACTTCCTAAAGTAGTTGAATTCTCTGATGACACATCCTAGTTAGAGCTTTCAGCCAATGAAGCGGGGCTTACTCAAACAAAGCTAATAGAAAGAAAGTAATAGTATTGATGACAGTGAAATGGAACCTTCGAATGGTGGAAGAAAAATATTCTACTTTGGCATAATGAACATTAATTTGGATGCATAGTCCACACATGTACCATGTATATATGGTACCCATACGATGCTACATGTACGCATCAATTTATAGATACTGGAGAATAACAGTTTGTATACAAGTGAGATCTGACAAAGGGACCAAAAAATGTGAATACCCCTAAATCGCATTCTGTGGGCAACTTGCTTTTCCACGATTCAGAACAAATATCGAACAGTTGGTGGGCAAAATCAAATATATTGCAAAAAGAAAACGCTAATAGAACATGAAACATCAGGGACAAACAATAACAAGCGCGAATTTCATATCATGCAAGGAAATTTTCGACCAGAGAGAGAGAAAAAAACTCGTATAAGGAGGAGATAAATAAATAATTCTCAGGTCTCAGGTCCACAAATGAAAACTAGAAAAAACAGAATCAAATCAAAAGAGGAAGGAGACGAAAACGAACCTGAAGAAAAGAAAAATACAATTGGCACTGCAAAGAGGAAGACACAAGTAGTGTGACGATGAAACTACGAAGATGAATTCATAACAAAAGAAACTAAAAGTTGAGGTCAGGGTTTAAGAGCTTTTCGAGGAAAGGAGGAAGGAAGAGAGCAGTTCAGACTGTTTAGTTTTTATTTATTTATTTATTTAATAATAATAATAATTATTATTATTATTATTATTATTTTTAAGAACAATGATAAAAGTATTTCGTGCTTATGTAAAAAAAAATATATTTTTAAAAAAATAAGTGAATAGCTATTATTTTTAAAGTAATTTTTATTTTTTATATGTATTTTTTTTATGCTTGGATATATATTGGTCAAAAGAAATTTGAATACAAATATATGGATATAATTGTTTATAACAAAGTGGATACCAAATTTTTTTTTTTATCCATACAATGTTCCAAAGTTAACAATCAAAGATTAATATGTATTTGCGAGTAGGAGTAGGTAGATGGATCTGGTTTGGTCTGTGATTATGTTTAATTTTTTAGTTTGGTCTGTGAAGTCCGTAGACTTAACGAATTTAATCTGTGGATTATAGTCCATGGACTTCACTAATTAATAGTTTTAAATATTAAGATTTTAATACTATGTTGTATATTTAATCTTTTAAATTATTATGACATTAAAACTATGTTTAGTTGGTGTATATTTATCATTTGAATTATTTTTATGAAATTTTGATGCTTTTATTATTAAAAGTTTGATACTATTAAGTATTTGTAATTATTTTTATTATAATATTTTAATATTTAGTATTTTAAACCATTCTAATGGTTGATAAATTTTAGTGTATTGAAATTTTTCTTATAAATAAAAAAGATTTTTTTTCTTCTAATTTTATGCATTTTTATTTTTTTTTTAAATTTATTTTTTGAACCATTATTTAAACCACAGACCGGTCTGTTTATCTGAGAATTTTGGCAGACCATATACGGGCTTGAAAAATAAGTTCATTTATTTTAGGGACCAGACTTATCTGGTCCATATAAAATGCGAGTTTATGAGTCGGGCCTTAAACGGGCCGGACTAATCCATATACCCACCCCTACTCGCGAGACATGATTTTCGTTAACCAAATATTATTTTAACATAGATGAGAATCAAACGTAGGAGCACGAACCTCCTTTGTACATTGTTATATATTATTATTATTTTATAAATTTATTTCATTTTCTTGTATTTAGGTGTAATTATAATTTTCCATTGTAGTTATACCAACTATAACACTTCAAGATTTTCATTTATTAATTAAATAGTATTTTTTTAATAAATAATTGGGCTAATTTTTATAAATGTATTTTATTTATATAAATTATGTGATCTTATTAATTTTTATTTTATTATTAAGGGAAGGAAGAAAATCACGATTACATTATTTTACTGAAAAGTTAATATTGTGGGTTAAGTTTTAAAAAGGGAGTTATGACAATTTTTTTCTTTTACACTTCTCTTTATTCTGTTTTTTATGTTTGCACTCTAAAGCATTAGGAGAATTAGAGCTCGTGTGAGATCATCTCGAAAATCCACGTCCTTTGCCTAGTGGCCTCTAAGGTAAAAAGAGAGTGAGTAATCCCACTCTAGGAGTGAGATAACTATTGGATAGTGAGATTGGTCCCTAATCTTTTCTCTGTTAAATGCATTGTAAAAGAAAATTTTCAATTTGTGACTTGTGATGTGTTGTTGTTTGCTATATGATTCTTCAACTCTCCAATTGATGTTATTAATGTATATGTATGACTGATTTTGTGAATTGAACTAATTTGTGAATCTTAAAAGAAAAAATAATTTTTGTACCAGTGATTTAATGAACATTTCCATTCTATTTTTCCAAATAGGTAGTCTCCATTAAAGCCTGGTGGCCTTGTAAGAGAAGCTCCTTTTGGTAGGTGCTAACCTTCACTACTCCCCATAATGAATCTTTCCCTTTAAAATGGTTAGATGCTCAATCTCGTCAAAGGCTGAGCTTTGATGCCAAACTATGGAGAAAAGACAAACATTAGCAGGGGAGTTGAATAATGTCTATTAAAAACTCACATTTTTTTGAGTAGTGAAGTAGTAACGTTAACAATAAAATGTATAGGAGAAGAGGAGACAAAACACATGGTAAATTTTATATAGTTTGTCTCAACTACCAAGTCTACGTTCAGTTCTCAATCCAACTAAATTGAGTTCTATTATCTTAAAAAGATACAAGTATTCTTTCATAAGGCATTTTTGGCTCAAACCTAAGTGTTCTTTGAATTGCCTCTTCAAGTAATCTATCCAAGTATTCTTTCAACACAAAGCTTCTCTAGTCTTCAACACCACATATTCTTTTACAATCAAGCTTTTTCAGGCTTAAACAAGTATTCTTTTACAAACCAACTTCTATAGGCTCAAGCAAGTTCTTTTATTGACTAGCCTTTTCGGACCTGGACAAGTATTCTTTTAATAGACAAGTCTCTTTATGTTCAACCTTATAACAATTGTTATATTTGGGTAAAGTTTTAGAAATGTTGTTTTGTCTTATAGACAAGATGTGATACAACTAATTAAGAACAATATTTTTACATAAAGAATGAATAATAATTTGTAAAATAGTTATTCTGAAAAAGTCTTTTCCTTTATATTTTTGAAGTTCCTTATATAATAGATTGGATGACGATGACTGTCGCAAAACCTTGAGAGTTCCTAAGCTTGTTTCATCTATCTTCATTACAAGTCCTTTAAGATGAGAAGTATTTGTTGAAGAATTAAATGCTTGCATTAATTGCATTTCCCCAAATTGTAAATTTTTATTTGATCAAAGAGGCTACTTATCGACTTTAAGATACCAAATGGATTTCCTATTGTGTGTATCAACAAAGAGCAGATTTTGCATCAATTTTTACGAACTTTCTCCATGATTTTAGGGGTCCCCCGTCCTTGTTTCTTGTGCACAACATGATTTCATTCACTTTAACATATTTGTGAGTTTCAATAAGCTTTTTTTGTTCAATTTGTTAAGGAATTGATTAGTCATTCACAAAGTAGTCGTTGCTCATGATAAATGTTATGCATTTAAGACTTTATGAGGTAAGATTGTATACTTCGTTTGATAACACATTGTCTATTTAAATGTTTACATCTTATGCTTTATTTGATTTGTATTTTACAAAAATAATTTTTCTTTAGAAAAATGTTTTATTTGTTATCATTAAAATTTGAAAGTTTGAGGGATCTAAGATTATTTTTTAATCTAACAACAAGCGAATTTGGTGGTATATATCATTTAGCTAAAGCATCAAATTCTTTTGCTAGTCACCACCGTTTTGATGACTTACCATCTTGTATTGAGGCCTGTGTTATTAATGAAATGACATAAGTACATTGCTATAAAAAAGATAATTGTGAGCTATATTCTAATTATAAGTGTTTCTTTTCTTTGATTTATAAATCACATTTTTGATAACGTGATCTTTTGTCTTATGCATGTTAACCTAAGGAATTATAATTGGTAGAATATTTTATCTATCATCGTTCCATTATTATTTTTGTCATAAGAATTGTAAATTTATATCATATTTTTGAAAAATAATTAAATATATTTTTTTTAATTTCTTCTGTTACTAACTCTTTTAAAGAATTTTTTCACACACAGAAATATTGAGTAGAATAACATTTAGGAGGAAACAAGTGGACAACCCATATTAAAAACCCGACGATATTCGATTGAGATCTAATGATGAGACTGGTTGTTATATTCATTTTTTGGAATGAAACTTGGTAGTTGAAATTGTCTCATGCATAAAAAAAAATTTCATTATTTTGTTTAGCTTCAAACAGATGATAAATCAACTAAGGATATTTCTTAATTTTTTTCTCCCTCAGTATTGTTGCTTTAGGACAATCACCATTAAATATTCATAAACAAATGTTATTAGATTTTGTTATGAGAATGAAGAGCTAAATTGAAGAGACTAAAATCATATAATTGCAATACTTAAAGGGACTCAAATTGTTCAATTAAAATTTTAAAAAATCAAAATTTTATAATAATAATACTTTAGAGACTAAAAATATTCAATTAAAATTGTAGAGACTAATATTGCACAATTACAATAATTGAAGGATAAAAAATGTAATTAATTAAGTCTATTATTAACTAAGTAAATATGTCACTCTTTACATTAATCATTAGTTAGTTTATCACTTAATCTTATCAAATATTTTTAATTTAATCAGTTAGTTTATAAACCTTTTAATTTATAACTTATCTTACAAGATTTCAGTCAACTTATAAGATAATTTTATTAAACACATTCAAAGTGCTCGAAAAAACTTTTTGATATATATATTCAAACGATACTAGTATAATTTTGACTCAGTATTACACCACTCAATTAATACTTAGTAAAAATTACATCAATATCGATTAAACCCTTCTCATATATATATATATATATATATATATAATATGCATTTAATTTTTATTATATAAATAAAGTAAAAGAATTAATAATAAAAAACTATCCAATTATTCACAAATAATTCAGTGACAGCAATTTTAACTTAAACAGCTTATCATCGGAGAATCTGGTTTTGATTAATGCTACCAAACTTCAATAAGGGTAGGTTGAGGGCCCTACAATATTAGCCTTTTAGTGAAAATATTTATGAAATGATAACTTTAACACTAACTAGTCTAAGAAAAATGGTCTCGTACTAAGGATCAATTTTGAATATTGAGATCTATATAAGATTGATTTTTTTTAAGAAAATAATAAATATTATATATATATATATATATTTTGACAGCTCTTGAATATTTTTGATGAATTTTCTTGGATTTTGAATGACTAATTGTAGTTAACAAAAAGAACAAAATTTCCCATGCATTATTATAGTAAGGCTTTTTGAACCTACACAGCAACTTTTTAGAACTCGTCAATCGGAGCAAATGCACTAGCAGAAACACAAACACGATCGATCGATGTTTTCCAAAATCCTTATATTTCATCATGCCAATATCTCAGTGTTCATATTTTTGGCTTTGTTTTCTTCTTCATCCATTGTGTCACTTAGTGATCTTCCCCTAGTCTCAGGCAAGAATATTCCAAAGACCCCACTAAATGCTATCGCCAACCCCAAAACCCCGTAACACAGAAACTTGTTCTTCCTTCCAGCACTCACCAGCAAGGGGCACAAGGAGCCACCAATCACCAGCGCCAACCTCGCCATCGCCAACGCCGAATTCCTCACACAAGTTGGGAACAGTTCCGTCGTGTAAATGAGGCAAATGTTGAAAGCGGAACAAGCGCAGAAGAAGGATATCAGCTCGAACACTATTTGCAGATTGGTCCAGGGCTTCGCTTGGATGGTCGACATCAAACTGAAAACACCACTCAGGGTTGTGAAGAGAAGAATTCCGCTTCTCCTATTGATCTTGTCTATGAGGAAGAACACGATCATCGCGGAGGGTAACTCTGACAGTGCATTGAATGTGACACTCAAGTAAAGGTTGAAGGACAAGTTTTGAAGACCTAGTGGCATTCCGTAATACACCAATCCAATGCCAATTCCCATGGTCATAATCGATAGTAACCTTTTGGAAGACCATTTCTTTTGCAGAAGAATTTTGACGGCGGAGAACAAATCCACGTTCCAAGTTTCTTCCTTGTGGGACATATTATTAATGGCCAAATTGAGGTTGCTTTGAGTGATTGATGTGATGCATTTTAGCGTAGCAACCGCTTCTTCTGTTCTTCCCCGCACTAGAAGCCACCTTGGGGACTCCGTAACGAACAACTTCATCAATATGCAGTAGAAAATTGTTGAAATAGAAGTCCACAGGTAAAGGTTCCTCCACGAACCACTCCTGTTTATGAATGCAATAGCTGGCAGGGACAAGAACCCTACGCATCCAAAAACGGCTCAAAGCTATGTCAACTTAATTTGGATTTAAATAGTTTTTAATTTTAAGACATACTTTTAATAATTCTGCTCTTCCAAAAAAATATCATTAATTTTAGTTTTTGAAATATTGCATGGAGATAATGAAACTAATTAATATGATATGACTATATATTTATGTGCTATATGTTATATTACTAAACAATAATAAAAGTATTGTGAAAAAAAATTTAGTAACTGCAATGAATTAAATATATGAGATTTTTTTTTTGAAAAAGTAAAATCAGATGAACCCACATTTATAATAATTAATTTTTTATCATAAAATTTATTATACACAATTATACTAATAAAATTACAATATTATACAAGGGTATATATAACTACGATTTTAGTCGCAACAAACAAGGAAATATACCCATGACTCTTATATTAGTTTGTCTAAACTTTTAAAAGAAACACAATTATAAAAGAAATATTTTTTAAGAAGTAGATATATAGAATTTGTTTATTAAAAAATAAAAATAAAATTCTTAATTTTAAATAAATAGTTTAAACAAACACACTAAAAAAAATTCGATCAATTTTTTTATAAACAAACTCATCATTGATATATATCTCAAAATAAATAATTTATTTTCAATTTTTTCATTCATTTTTAAAAGTGTAAGATGTTTGTGGTCTCTATTTTCATAACAAGTAACAAAGTCATATTATCTTTGAATCTATTTTACTAATTATTAAAATTCATAATAATATTAATAAATAATGAAGACGTACTAATATTAGAGAATTAGAGAGAGTTTTATAAGTAGTTAAAACGAGGAAGGAAGTGTGAGCTTAAGTAGTGCTTAACCCTTACCCAAAGTGAAACAAAGGAACCCGACAACACTAATCTGGCTGCGCCACCGTTTTCCGACGAGCTCCGACGCCAAAACAAGCGCGGAAGTCCCAATGGTGGCGCGACCAAACCCGCTGAGAAACTTGAGCGCGGAGTAGATCCAAACGTTGGGCGAAAGAGTCGCGAGCAACGAAGTGAGACCCATCAAGAGGCACGAGAAGAACAACGTGTTCTTCCGACCGAGCGATGAGTCAGCCAGCGTGGCCAGCCCGAAGCCCCCGACAAGGCAGCCGACGAAGAAGGCCGACGCGGGGAGCCCGGCCACGACCGAGTTGGCGCATTCCAGGCCCCACTCCGACACTGTGGAGGCATGCAGGGGCCCGGTCCAGGCCCACGAGCCCCTGGGGAGGTCGCATAGGTTGGCGGAGGCTTCGGTGCATGCGTCATTGGTGCAGTGCCACGGTGGCAGCGCGTCGGTGAAGACAGTGATGAAGGTTTGTTGAGCGTCGAAGACCCAGGCGAAGGAGACGATGATGGATTGGAGGAACTGGGACCAATTGAAGTGGCCTATGCAGATTTCTACTGTGGAGCCGAGGGATGGAAGGTGTTTGGTGGGTGTTTGTGGCGGTTCTGCTGTATCAGAAAATGAGGAGTGGGTTTGGCAGAGAAGAGGGGTGGAATCAGCCATATGATGGATGGATGGATGGATGGAGGGAGGGCAACTAGCTTAGCTAGTTGGGATGTAAAATAATGTAATTTGTTTACTGTTGTTGTTGTTGTTGTTTATGTGGCTTCATCATGTTGTGTAATGTGTGCAAAGGGTTTTATACTGAAGGAGGGAACATTAGACCTGTCTAGATTCCTCTGCTCTATTCACTCCTCATCTTCTAAATTATTGTCAATAGGATAATGCTCAATGACTCAACATGCCTATTTTTTGTTTTCTCAGTTAAAAATAAATAAAAATATTTAACAACCAGTTATGACCCATTTTTATTGACCAGTCAATTTTGTTTGAGATCTTACTGACGAGCAATAATATTATAATAGGCATATTTATTTTATTTGTCGAACTTATAATGTTAAATCAGATTTTAATACACTTTCTTTTAGATACGTGAAAATTTAAGTTTTATTCTTATTGTTTTCATATAATGAGTTTCTTCAAATTTAACCATTTGTAATCAATTATATAAAAGAGCTAATATGAGCATAATAATACCGAAGAGAGTGTTGGTAAAATTCTTCTTTTAATTTTTTATTGATAAAAAAAATGATGAAGACCATGTTTTTCATTTAATATAATATTATTACGAGGTTAAAAATAATAATTAATATTATTAGAGATCATAAATATACATATAATAAATATTTTTCTGTTAACATAATCTATTGTATAGAATTTTAACAATTAAGTCAACCAATATTGATATGTGACATTTAAGTTGAAGTAATATTTTTTTTAATAATTTTATAACTAAATAAATAATTAAATATAATTATTTAATTATAAAATATAAATGCAAAATTACTTTGTTAATTTCATTATATAACATTTTTACATAACTAATTTTCCCCAATTTATATTTATTGACGTGTACGAGTGAATGAAAGAAAAATTAAAAGAAAAGAAATAATTTGCAGTGGATGATAAATATGAAAAATTAACAAGAGTAAAAATGAGAAGAAATTTATTGCAAGATCCAAGACTAATGTCTTTATAGTAGTTCAGAGTAATCATTACATAACATAACATGTAACAATTCAGATTTTTAATACTAACATATGCAATAGTTTCTAAAAGTTAAATGAATAATAAAATAGATGTATAATCATGATAATTCTAAATTTATTTAGTGCAAGTGGCCTCATGTCGTGAAAAGAAAGTATTTATTCACCTACTTGTTCTTATCACCTATTAATTTGTCCCGCTACCACCTGTATAGCCATATCACAATGATGTGGCAAAGCTGTGTTGCCACGTATTTTAACAAAGAAAAATATAAAAAATAAATGCTAGCTATTGATCAACACTTTATTTAGAATTCACCTAAAAAAAAACACTTTATTTAGAATTTATTTAGAAGCTAATTATCTGTATACGGCAATCAAATAATATTACCAATTATTAGCATGTTTTCTTCACTTGACTACTCACGACGGCTCAACAAATATCTAATTATGTAGATGTGAAATGTAATATGATGTTTTCAAAATCAATTAAAATGAATTATTAAAGCTATTGAAATTTTATTTGAATATTTTAAACCGTAAAATTACTTATTATCAGCGACAAGTCAATCTATTAAATTTTTTTGTAGAGAAATTGTTGATCTTAAGTAATATTTTATTAATTTTAGATTTTTGTTTTTGAAAAAAAAAATATTTATAATGAAACAAACAAGAGTTTGTTAAAGTTTCATATGCATAACACATGATATAGGTAATTAACATTTTTGTTGACCAATATTTTGATGTTTTTGGTTTATTCCAAAGTTTACATTATAATTGGACTCGTATGTTTGTATTAATGAAATGTAACTTTTTTAAAAATTTTAAATAGGTTTTTATATTAGTATATTAGTTTCTATTTAATTATAATCATAAAAAGTATTTTTTTAAAATAAAACCATTTTTTTAATTTGTTTGGATATCATAATAAAAGTGTTTGTTTTATAAAACTACAATTAAGAATGAAAATAGGATAGATCAGGTCAGACTTTGAATATATAGATTGAGTCTGTTTTGCAGCATTAAAGTTTAAGTCTGACCTATTATTTATCATATACTTTATTTTATAAGCCTGACCTAACCTTTTTAAAAGTTTGTCTGACCTATTAGCCTATTTATATTTAAATTATTAATATTAATTAGATCAATAAATTTAATTTTTAAAAAGTAAAAAAATTATTTTTAAAATATAACTTACTCGATATTATTAAAATTTAAATTTTAAAAGAAATATAAGAGAAAAATTGAATTATTTTTGTTGAAGGCGCAATTTATGCATAACCATATATGTTGATGTATACTCATACACAAGTCATAAACTATTATATAAAAAAATATTTTAAATATTGATAAACTTTTTTTTATTTTATAAATTTATATTTATTTATATTTTAATAATATATATTAAGTTTTTATTATATTATATAAATATAAATAGATTGACTTATCATATTTAACACTTTTTAATTGTCTAAGTCTAACTTTTTTATATAAATAATTTTTTTAAAAATTTAAACTTAACTATTTTATTAAATAGATCTGATCAAACTAAACTTTAAAAAGATTAAATCATAAATTCTTATTTAAGACTTGACCTATTTGCATTTCTAATTATAATGAGTGATTTTGCATGTTTAAAATCACTTCCTAAAAGGATATATTTTTATGAAAAAAGTTCGCTTATAAAAAATTTGTAATTAAGATATTTAAAATTATTTTAAAGATAAATTCATTACAAGAAAGAGACAATCTATATTTGAAAATACAAAAACATAGAAAAAAGTGCTTCCAACAAAGACGAAACTGTCACCTGATCTATACATGCATAAGAGGACCACATCAACTTAGTAATTCTATGAGACAAAAATAGGCAAGCTTTAGAATGGTTGTATCGATATGTGATAAGAGGATAAAATGTAATTGTATAATTTTTTAATGGGTAAAATCTTATTTTGGTCCCTTATAATAATTGTTTGTTTCAATTTAGTCCCACTTTTATTTTTTGTTTCAATTTGGTCCTAAATAAATTAATTGGTTTCAATTTGGTCCCTAATAAATTAAATGGTTTCAACTTGGGATTTCCGTCTAAATTATTTAAACGGAGTTAATTGTTGGCCACGTGGATGCATAGGTGGATGTCATGTGAATGCTACGTGGATGCCAATTTTTTTGAAAACACCTGGAACCAGAACGACCTGTTCTGAAACTAGAACGGGCCGTTCAGGATGCACTATTGGTGTGTTAATTTTGCATCTAAAACGGGCCGTTCTAGATGCAAAATTAACCCACCACCAGTACATCAGAACGGGCCGTTCTGAAATCAGAACGGGCCGTTCTGAAAACAGAACGGTCCGTTCTGGTTTCAGAACGGCCCGTTCCAGAATGCCAGTTAAGTGAAAACAATAGAATTATTAATTTGTTTTCTTTTAATTTCCTCTAAATTTTTATGCTCATTTAAAATAAAAATATTTTATATGTTAATTTGAATTAATTTAACGAAGTATCATATAATTTTTAATTTTTTAAATTTTTTTATAAATTTGATCTATACATGAAAAGATTTTTAATTTAACAATTAAATTTTTAAAAATTTGATATAGAACATTAATTATTAAGTAGAATAAATCTATCAAGACTTACTCTTGAAGTAAGTAAATTTTTTCTTCATTAAAAATGAAGATAATTTTACCACAAAATAAAAAATAATTAAACAATAAAATAAAATATAAAAATATTAATGTATTTATTATATTAAATATAACAACATAATTAAAATATAATTAATAATATATATTTTATAAAATTATTAATATTTTATATATATAAAAAAAGAATGAAAAAAATTATTGTGGGGGCTAGTGCCCCCACTATGATTAACTTAGATTCGTCCCTGCATGTGGCTGTGTGGTAAAATGTTAGTCTTGTCTATCCTCTTCCTTTACTTTAGGTTCTACCTCTTCAAGAACAGGTTCTTGTTGTTGGTAGTAAGTGGTTCACTCCAGCTTGACTAACAATGAAATAAAATCTGCTACCATTATCTTTAGCGATACACTGCATTGTCCTTAATGATACACTGTATAACCCAATTGTTTAACAATTGAAGTTATCAACTTTCATTGACAATATTATCAAATCCAGTGTTTGAAATGTTTTGTACTAAATTCACGTGGATGCCACGTAGATGCACACGTGGATGCCACTTGGATGACTTTTTTTTTTAAAACACCTGAAGCCAGAACGGCCCGTTCTGGGTGAACTTTAGGTGTGTTAATTTTGCACCTGGAACGGACCGTTTCGGGTGCAAAATTAACACACCTAAAGTTCACCCAGAACGGGCCGTTCTGGCTTCAGGTGTTTTAAAAAAAAAAAGCCATCCAAGTGGCATCCACGTGTGAATCTACATGGTATCCACGTGTCTAATAGTTAACACCGTTAAAGAAATTTTGACAGAAATCTCACATTGAAACCAATTAATTCATTAGGGACCAAATTGAAACCAATTAATTTATTTGGGACCAAATTGAAACCAAAAATAAAAGTGAGACTAAATTGAAACAAACAATTATTATAAGGGACTAAAATAGGTTTTTAGCCTTTTTTAATATATATGAAGTAGTTTTAATATAAAAATATTTAATTTAATTATTTTCAATTAAATTACTTAACTATTTATGAAATAATTTAAAGAAATAAAAATATTATATTAAATAAAATAATTAATTATAATTGACTATTTTTATGGTTATTTATTTTATATTTGTAATATGTACAAAAGTTCTTTTCTAAATAAACATATTATTTTAGAAGTTTTTTTCTTTGAGTAATTTAGTTAGGATTAAGGGAATAATAAGAGAGAATATTAATAAGACACAAAAATTAGTTATTAATGAAGAGAAAAAGTATAAATAAGAAAAAGAACAACGATTAGAGGGACCCTTGAACAACGATTAGAGCAACTAGATCAAGAATTTTATTATTGTAGCATGAGTTTTGTAAACTCTACTTTGGTGACTTGAAAAAGACATGCGCGCTCAATTGTCATAATGATGGAAACCTAACCTCGTAGTTGCTTTCCTA